TGGACCTCTGTGTGGACCTCTGTGGACCTCTGTGTGGACAGACCTCTGTGTGGACGGACCTCTGTGTGGACGGAGCTCTGTGTGGACGGACCTCTGTGTGGACGGACCTCTGTGTGGACGGACCTCTGTGTGGACCTCTGTGTGGACCTCTGTGTGGACGGAGCTCTGTGTGGACCTCTGTGTGGACCTCTGTGTGGACCTCTGTGTGGACCTCTGTGTGGACGGACCTCTGTGTGGACGGACCTCTGTGGACCTCTGTGTGGACGGACCTCTGTGGACCTCTGTGTGGACGGACCTCTGTGTGGACGGACCTCTGTGGACCCCTGCCAACTGTCAGCGCAACTTACATGGTGCCGTTTAGAAAATATAATAATAAAGACCACTGGTCCACTGGTCCACTGGTCCACTGGTCCACAGAGAGAACTGATAGGTCCTCTTTCTGGTTAGAACTGACACGTCTGATTCTGGAAATGTCAGAAATGGATTGAGCATCTCCAATAACCTCCTAACCCACTCCTGAACCGTCCAAATCTGAAGAGACCTGTTGTAACTATTGTCCAGACTAAATGCTAATGTTTGCTCCTTCCACCTCTGAGTGTATCCAGTTCTTCCCTAGCCTGAGGGGAGGTCTCTGGCTCCTGAGGGGAGGTCTCTGGCTCCTGAGGGGAGGTCTCTGGCTCCTGAGGGGAGGTCTCTGGCTCCTGAGGGGAGGTCTCTGGCTCCTGTGTGCTTTAGTCCAGTTCTCCAAGCTGATAAGTCAATAACAAGGATAGTTTGTGTCGGCACATGTTTTCATTTTCATATATATATTTTAACTTTTAATGTTACATTTCTTTCTTTCTTTCTTTTTTTCTTTCTTTCTTTTGTAACTTTCTTATAAATGTTTTATTATTTTATCATATTTCAGTGGAGTCCACCAGGTGGATCAAAGACAATACTTTTTGTTTCTATCGGATAAAAACTAAACGGAAAATACCATCAGATCTGAAACCTGCAGAGTCCGAGTGACGACACCGTCCTTTAAATCCTGAAAACATCTCTAAAGCCTCGGGTTCATCCTTCAAGCGTTTGATTTGTGTTTTGCAGAATCGCTGTAGGTCACACACCTTTCATCACCTGCACACACACACACCTTTCATCACCTGCACACACACACACTGTTCATCACCTGCACACACACACACTGTTCATCACCTGCACACACACACACTGTTCATCACCTGCACACACACACACTGTTCATCACCTGCACACACACACACTGTTCATCACCTGCACACACGTTCACACACACACACACACTGTTCATCACCTGCACACACACACACTGTTCATCACCTGCACACACACACACTGTTCCCCACACTCATCACCTGCACACACTGTTCATCACCTGCACACACACACACTGTTCATCACCTGCACACACACACACTGTTCATCACCTGCACACACTGTTCATCACCTGCACACACACACACTGTTCATCACCTGCACACACTGTTCATACACACACACACACACACACTGTTCATCACCTGCACACACACACACTGTTCATCACCTGCACACACACACACACACACACACACACTGTTCATCACCTGCACACACACACACACACACACACACACTGTTCATCACCTGCACACACACACACTGTTCATCACCTGCACACACTGTTCATCACCTGCACACACACACACTGTTCATCACCTGCACACACACACACTTTTCATCACCTGCACACACTGTTCATCACCTGCACACACTGTTCATCACCTGCACACACACACACCTTTCATCCCCTGCACACACACACACTGTTCATCACCTGCACACACACACACTGTTCATCACCTGCACACACACACACACACACACACACCTTTCATCACCTGCACACACTGTTCATCACCTGCACACACACACTGTTCATCACCTGCACACACTGTTCATCACCTGCACACACACACTGTTCATCACCTGCACACACTGTTCATCACCTGCACACACACACAC